GTGCTACATTTATGAGGAAGACGGGGCCTTTCCCGGCGACCCGTGTTTCAATCTTGCATGGTAGGGCATCCATGACATCGAATTCGTTCAGTGCCACTAATTTTTTGAGGAACTGCAGTGCTTCGTTTGAAGCCTGGGGAATTTTCTCGTCCGGCATTGATGCCATCCTCGACACAATCTGTGACTGCAGATCTCTGAACTTCGCAGCGTCTGCCATCCCGCTCGATCGATCGTCCGAACATGTCGGAGTCTCCGCGGAAACGTCTCTTTCCTCGTCGGGCATGGTGGACTGCTTCGGCGGCGACTGGGAATGCGGTCCTTCATCGGAAGGGCTCCGAACCCTCTTGCGGTCGGTCATCTTCCTCCCGTCTGCCATCCCGCTCGATCGATCGATTTAGAATTTGAGCTCCAGCGACGGCCCCACGCTCTGTGTATGGAAGTTCCCTGATTTCAGAATTTGAGCTCAATTCGCGGCCCCATGCTCTATGTATGGAAGTTCCCTGATTTCAGAATTTGAGCTCCAGCGACGGCCCCACGCTCTGTGTATGGAAGTTCCCTGATTTCAGAATTTGAGCTCAATTCGCGGCCCCATGCTCTGTGTATGGAAGTTCCCTGATTTCAGAATTTGAGCTCCAGCGACGTTACTTTGAACAGTTACTTTGAAAACCCAGACAATATTTCATTGTTCCTCCTGTTTAGAAAGGATCGATTCGTGTATCTCGCATGGACGGAATTCTCGGGGTATCCGCTCTCGAGATCTCTAGCTCTGTGGATAAAAGTCCGATAACTTTCGGGTCTCTCATTCCGAAGAACCCCGGAGTATTCCCTTCCGATTTCGAGAGCTCTATGCTCCGAGATAGAAGTCCGGTAATTTTCGGGTTTCTCATCCCGAAGGTTCTCGGAGTCTTTAGCCGCGCCGAGCTGACTGCAGCGCCAAGCTGACGAGCTCCTCCCCTCTCGCCAGTGGCCAGGAGCAACATCGTTTCTTTTCCAGCAGAAGTTCCCCTGGAATCAGAATTTTCGTGTTTCCCCTCCCCATGTTTCGCTGAGATGCTCGCTTCACCGAAGTATTAAGTCGAATGTGACCCCCTCTGCGCGGCGAGACCTTTGAATCCGAAAGGAGAAACGCCGGTGTCGCCTACCGTGAGTCTGGATCTGTCGCCTGACGTGTGCTCTCGGCGCGGAGTTTGCATCCTTGAAGAAGATTCTCGTCCGCGATCGCTGAATATGCTTCGAATTCTCGATAGCAGGACAGATTGTCCTAGCATGAGGTCGTGCTTCGAATTTCTCCTGTCATTCGAGAGCCGGACGGAAAATTCCCCCCGCTCTCGAAGCTCAATACTTCGGAGCCAAGCATAGACAATCGAATAAGTTCAAGCTACATTTCCCGTCGTGATTCCATCACTCCTCTTCAGCCTCAGAGCGACAGAACTGATACTCCCAGAGAGTCGAGAAAATCACCATGAGCGAATCAAGGACAATCTTTTTCGGAAGCCGCGGGGAGTCTTCGCAGTCATCCGATTCCTTCAGTCTACCGGGAGAGCTAAGAACTCCAGTGTCCGAAGGTTGGCCAGATTTATGGAGTGCCGCAACTCTGGGAAACTATTCGTCGTAAGTTTCCTGATAAGAGTCTTTCACGTTGAAGATGAGGATCGGTTTCGATCCCAAGTATCCTGAGAAAATGCTGGATCGTTCCGCAGACTGATATGGCAAGGATATCGTCGACTCATCCAAATGAGTGACTTAATTCCACTGCAGAAGAAATACACTAGCGAGTATTGTTGGGAAGCTTTCCGAAGTCAATGGATTGGAGAGCGGAGAAAAAGGTGGTATTCAGAATTATTCCCCATTGGGTTGCAACACAGAGCTCGATCCGATCCTCGGGTGTGGCAGAAAACGATCGATAAAACTCAAAGCGAGTCCATTTCCAGCGTGGAAACTCGGTCGAGAGCCCCTACCAAGAATGACCCGGCAGCCAGGTCTATGTCTAAGATACTCATGAAGGCGTTCTGGGAATTCGTGATCTGTAGCTCTCTGCTTGAATTACTGTTCGATGTTGCACGACTACTCCCCGTAGTCGCCTTGAGGTGGGTTAGATTCCAACCGAAGAGTCTTTATCATCTACCTATATGTGAGATCCGGTATCTGTGTACATTTCCCACAAAAAGCCCTTGATTCCCTGTCTGACTCTCGTTCACACATTGAAATCCGCGATTCCGCAGCAATATGATTCAATTCGTGGATTCCACGGAGCCGCACACCGTCGGGTATGGATACTGCGCTTATCTACTGGTGAACAACGTGGGAATCGCCTTCCTGCTGAACTGGCTGAATTTCTCATGCGCGACCGGTGGCGCCCAGATACGGTCTGCCCTCATCGGGGCCATTTATCAAAAAGTGAGTCACATGAGATCCTCGTTCGGAGTGCCTTGCCGAGGAAATTCTCCCTAACCCAGTGCTCTTCGTAGAGCCTCTCGGTAACGTACATCGAGAGCCGGAAATTCACGACGGGGAACCTGCTGAACTTGATGTCGGTCGATGTTGACAACGTATTCGAGTTCCTGCAATTCTCAACCTTGATCTGGGGGAGCTTCGTTCGGGTATTGAGTTCCATCGCCGTCGTATGGTTGTACTTAGGACCGTCCTGTCTCGCTGGGATCCTCGTCATAATACTTTGTCTACCTCTGACCGTTTTCATCAGTACTGCGACAACGAGGTTCCAGGTAGGCGACGACAGCTCTTAACGCTCTATGAGACTCCTCGGAGAGGCCGGGCCTCACAAAATTCCTTTCTCCTCACAGAATATGCAATCGACGGAGAAGGACAAGAGATTAGAAGCCTTGAATGACCTTCTTTCGGGAATGAAAATCATAAAACTCTTCGCCTGGGAGAAAGCCTTCATCAAGAAAGTCGAGGATATCCGCTCGCGCGAAGTCGATTGGCTGCGAAAGTACCTCCTCGGCCAGACTACGATAATGTTCATTTGGGATTGTGGATTGTTCTTGGTAACATGACGTTCGGGGACGAGATTCTAAATTGGGGAGGTCATGGAAACATCTCAAAACCCAGGAAGAGCCGCGGGATGGCAAGCGTTGCGAACACTCAATCTTTTTCCAGGTGTCAACCGCAGCTTTTGGAACCTATATTCTGGTCGATAAGAAAAACATTCTGAGCGCTGACAAGGCATTCATATCGCTCTTCTTGTTTAACAACATGAAGTGGGCGATTATATTCTTCCCGATAAATGTAACCCTACTCCTGAAAGCCTTGGTTTCTCTGGACAGAATCAAAAGCTACCTCATGCTCGAGGAAGTGAAACGATCTGACATCTCTCACTCGTTGGATCCAGGTAAAGACGTAGAGCGCGGACGAAGTGTTTTACAAGCCCATAGCTTTCTCCGTGAGAGCCCTCAAGATTCCGTCAATCATTCTAGGCGAGGATATCCGTTTGCTGAGCTTGGACGCAGCCTGGCTGGGGACGACTCCGCTCTTGACGGGTTTGAATTTCTCCGTCAGATCCGGGGAGCTTCTGGCCGTCTGTGGACGGATGGGGTCTGGAAAATCATCGCTGCTGCATGCGATACTCGGTGAAATGAAAATACTCAGTGGCAGCCTAAGCGTCAGAAATGTTAGTTGCTCGTGCGATCGGGTAGACTTTGCGCTCCGTCGCGCTCGATGTCGAAGGTTGGACCCCATCAACGCGGAGAGATAATCTTCTGGTAATTAGAATTGAATTCGGACAGGAACCAATCGCCTACGTTGGACAGCAAGCTTGGATCCAAAACGAAACCGTGCGACAGAACATCTTGTTTACGGCATCCTACGAGCCGGCGTGGTACAAACAAGTTCTGCACAAGTGTTGCTTGGACTCAGATATCGAGAGGTTCGCAGGAGGCGATTTGACTGAAATCGGGGAACGAGGCGTCAATCTCTCAGGCGGACAGAAACAAAGGATAAGTCTCGCGCGAGCCGTTTACCAGAGAGCGAGCATCTACCTTCTCGATGATTCGTTGAGTGCACTGGATGCTCACGTGTCTTCTGATCTGTTCCGGAACGTCATTGGACCCGGCGGTGTGCTGGGGAGCGTAACACGAATCTTCGTTACGCAATCGATGTCGCTCCTTCCGTTCGTCGATAGGATTATCTTCCTCGATGATGGAAAGATTGAACACATCGGCACCTATGAAGAAATTTCAGAGAAAAACAGACTCGTGAAAAACATGTCGAAGACATCGAAGCCGAGATCGAGTATGCTTTTCGAAACTTCTCGAACTGAATCGACCGAATCCAAAGAGGGGACCGAGAAACACGCGCTGAGTGGAAACACTGATGCGAAAAAGCAGGCCAATGAATTCCCTAGGCTCGGAGCCGCCACCCTGATCGAGGAAGAGAAAATCGCAATCGGGGCTATCCAGTGTTCCGTATACATGACTCTTTTGCGCCACTTCGGGAGATTCATGGGAATTCTCGTCGCGGCTGGATTCTCGCTTCATCGATTCCTTGAGGTGAGGGTCACGAAGTCTGTTGGGAGTCCCAGACTGATGCCTCCAGCGTCGGAAGTTCCCATCAGCCCCCTTCATGCTGTTTTCCTCCCTGGGAAGTTTCTCCCGGAAATGTTCAAGAGGAATACGGGGAGTTGCTCGGCTTCTAAAATGGAGTCGATGGGCAGGTTTATTCGACGATCTGGCTTGGCCATTGGACAGACGATGCGGGACGGATTGTGAAGAACTCCAGTAGGCCTGAGGACGCCTTCTCCCCCCATGGCCCTGAAGCTCTGGATGAGATCCGCGATTTGTCGGTGTCCAGGATCCTCGGTTACTTCTACATCGGTGCAGGCCAAGCGCTGTCGGTGATGTTCGCTGGAGTGTGTCTCGCCATGGGTTGTCTCACAGCTTCCACGAAACTTCATTCTGCGATGCTGTGGGAAATCCTGAGGGCTCCGATGATGTTCTTCGATTCGACGCCTCTCGGAAGGATTCTGAACAGGTTAGTGGTTTGGTGGACGGGTCATCTTCGGCGGATCGAGTTCGTACCGAAGGCTACGTCCAACTTACTCGCAGGTTCGGAAAAGACGTCAATGTTCTTGATCTCGAGCTGTACATACATCTGGACGAATGGATCGATGCGTCATCCCAGGTCGTTTCGACCCTAATCCTGATCAGCATCCAAATACCCATGGTTCTCCTCCTCGTGATCCCCGTAAGCGTCGTCTACGCTTTCCTACAGGTAAGTTTGGAGCGCAAGTTTTTTTTTCTCCGTATTTTTGGAACATTGGAGCGGGGATTATGTGAATCGGGAACCTATTGCATGATGGCTAGAAGATCTACATCGGCGCCGCCCGTCAATTCCGCCGTCTCCTTTCGACTACAAGATCTCCAGTGCTGAACCTCTTCTCAGAATCGATCAACGGTATACTGACCATCAGAGCCTACAGAAAGGAGGTCTACTTCGCGCGGAAGTGCCAAGTCAGGGTCGACGTGAATCAGAATTGTTATTTCCATTCAATAGCTGCTTCAAGGTATGGCGCATTTCAGAGGATTTCCCTCGTCTAGCTCCACTGGGTTAGAAATATCCAGCTGAAACGCCAAGTTCAAGATCTATGATGTGCTCCTTCTCTCAGCTGGGCTGGTCTGCGGGCGGACATCCTGTCCGCCTTTATAACAGCAATCATATGCGGCTTGGTGGTGCTCTACCGCGACGTCGTCAGCGCAGGAGTTGCGGGAATGGTGCTTTCGTATTTGCTGCTGGTTTGTGACTCGATAAGCTGGATGATCATTGTCTCAATCGACGTGGAGAAGGCCGTCGTTGCAGCCGAAAGGATCGAGGAGTACGTACGAGTGAAGAACGAAGCACCCTGGGAGGTTGAAAATGGAGCAGTCCTCGCCAAAGATTGGCCAACTCATGGGAAAATCTCCTTCGTCCATTATTCTACGAGATACAGGTCGTTCCCCTCGCTTAGCTCGACGCTACCGATTCGAAGCTTCTGCAAATCGAGGAGATGGAGCGAGAATGTGAACTATTCGACTTTCGGTTCACAGAGAGGGAGCCGGAGAAACCTTGAAGGACATAAACCTTGAAATAAGGCCCGGTGAAAAAGTGGGTGTAATCGGCCGGACTGGCGCCGGTAAGAGCACTTTGGCTCTCGCCCTATTCAGAATCCTAGAGGCGACTAGTGGCGCGATCTTCATCGATGACATCGACATATCCAAGTGAGTTCCTAAGGGAGCGTCGCCTCGGATTGGCAGAATGATATTTCTCTGCAGTCACGCTCGCAAATACACTCTTCAGACTGGGGCTTCATGATCTTCGCGGAAGGCTCACGATGATCCCACAAGAACCTGCTCTTTTCCAAGGGACGATACGCTCGAACCTGGACCCTGAAGAACGCTACACCGACGGAGCACTAAGCCGGGCTCTACAAAGTGCGCATCTGAATAATCATCTGACGGACCTGGAGCACGAGGTCGCTGAAGGTGACGGCAGTCAATCCTCAAAGCTCGGGCTTGAAGAGTCCCCTCAGAATTCAGCGATTCGAGTTTCATCCCCCGGGTTATGTTTCTCTGCTTCACAGGTGGTGAAAATCTATCCGTGGGCGAGAGGCAACTCATTTGCTTGGCGAGAGCACTCCTGAGAAAATCAAGAATTATCGTGATGGACGAGGCGACAGCTGCCATCGACCCGCAGACCGACGCGCTCATCCAGGAAACGATCAAGAGGTTTTTTCTGAGCATAAAAAACTGTTTCTCTGACTGAACGCGGATAGGCGCGAAGAAATTTCGGGGAGACTAACAACCGCTGAATATTCGCAGAGACTTCGAAGAATGTACGGTCATCACCATAGCTCACAGACTCCACACAGTCGTACACTATGACAAGATTGTCGTGCTCAGCCGTGGCGAAATAACGGAAATCGGTAGACCGAAAGAACTGCTGCGAAATAGAAATTCTTCCTTCCATTCGATGGCCGAAGAGTCGGGTTTGATCTGACCATGTGAAAGAATATCAGTCGTATGTGTCGATACCACCCCATTCATTTTGGTAGAACCGGTACCTTTTTTTGTGATTCTTTCTGACTTTCGTTGGTTAATCCAAGCTCGACTTCGGCCTAATTGATCCAGTTAATAAACCACAGTATTCGAAAATAATGCATGGAATGTGACCGACCGTTCCTGAGAGATCGCTCGAGTTGCTCTGGAAAGGAATGGGATGCGAGAAAGGACTACATTGCGACCGTGTCGCTCAAGCTAGCTCCTATCCTTCTCCATCGACTTTGGGCCGGTGAATCTCGGAGGAAACGATTAGTCAGACGCGGGGAAATGAATGAAAACACAGATTTGATCTATCGAGGCTTTAATCGGTATATGTCGACCAATAATAATCGTTGGGTGTTATAATGCTTTCTTCAGGTAACCAGTGATATTTCGGAATACAGGAATCAACCCAAACACAGAGAAACTCTACTGCCTGTGGGGTTGTCTAGATGTCTTCGGAAACCCAGGTACTCGGAATCGGGCAACTGATTGGAGGTCCCAAGTCGTCCGCCTCCCAAGCTCAGCTTGATGTCCATCCTACTTCTCCATCGGCTAAATTTCCTTCGACCATTAGCAATATATCACCTATAAATTGATACCGGGTTCCACTCGCTTCTCTTCTCTGACCGATATGGGGTCTTGAACATTTCCTTGGGAATATCAAGAGACCATCAAGCGAACTGCAGTCGGACTAGAGGAAGGTCGAAAAACAGAGGGCAATCAGCTGCCGTGAAAATATCTTGGATAAAATACCACTTGATTGGTATAGATTTCTGACATGATCAACTTCGAGCGCTCTACCTAGGTATGGGCACTACTAGCTCGGCTCCCCGACCGAAGGTCGGGGCTTCTACGAGGCTCAAGGTCCAGATTTCTACTTATGTGCTATGTATGTACCATATATGATATTGTTTCAGGGTTGGCCCTCCTGTATACCTTGAGGGTCCGTGTTCCGTGTTCGCGCAGCTACGTACATCCAGTATTCATTCGGGAAACGTGTCTGACACTGGCTATCTATAGCGCGAACTATCTACATGCGGTCTCAGGCAGCAACACAACTGCGGGTAGCTCGCGTCGTCTTGCGATCCAATCGTGTTTCTAATTCCTTGATGTGTGGTTCCTCTGCTCAATCTTATTATTTATCAATATATTATTTTCCTTAAAGTAGTTAGCCTCGGGAGCCGACGCCGAAATCGTCCCGATATCAAGAGAGAACTCCTGATCGATCTGGAATCTTTCTGGTTCCGTTGGAAAACGCGTATCCGATCGGCTAACCGACTGAAGTGGAACATGAGAAGCTCGTTGCTGTCTATTCTGGCCACCACTATACACACTCACGCTACCATCTTCACTCAGACTGTAATAATAATTAAAATGCTCCAACTCTAGAACATGTTCCCTGATCCCAAGCAGATAATAATTCCGACGCTCAGAGCCGAATCCGTATACAGCCAAGGAAATCGGAAGTCAAACTAGATTTTGCTCAGAAGTATTTTCTTCTCCCTTTCTCTTTTGATAACAGTAACAGCATCTCATCGATCTCAGATGGTGGGGACTAATCGAACGAAATGAAGGTGGCAGAGCCTGCCTCACACATGAGCTTGCGGAGCGATGAAGTGAATTTACTCCAAGGTCGAAGGACTGATGTGTCCGTTCCCGTTGCCATTGACTTGCGCATGGCCGTTGCCGTTCATCGACGCTGAAAGAATATATCATTCGTATTTCCGTAAGCTCGGAAGGTGGGTGGAAGCCATTTACTGGGTCTCGACTCAATACTGAATGTAACCGGAACTAACTGATTGTGATAGAGGATCGGAATCGAGTCTAGAGTCGATTCCTATGGCATACAGAAAGAGAAATGAAGGGAATGGGAACCATGCTATCGATTGTGAGTTATGCGAAACATGCATTTGAATATTTCATCATTTCTATTGGTGGCTGAGATGTTGATGGACACCGTTAGTCTGACCGCAGGGCTCTCAACTTCCAAAGATTCAACTCCGATAGACGGAGAGGGCGATCTCGAAGGGATCGGAGATTCACTGATTCTAGGCTTCCCGTATTGCTGGGTGAATGATGGATCACCGCAAATTCAACATCGCCTGCTTCTTGCCCGACCCTATTCGCGACTTTATGCTCAAGACTCAAAGGAATAATCTCTGAGGAACAGGTTATTTGATCGTACGGGATATGTGGGGTATCCAACCGACTCATGGAGAACATTCTAATCCGCAAGAGCACAAACAACAACGATCCAAAGTAGATACTCCGAGAACGAGCGCCGAAAGAACAAAGCCGACTCGATAACGGGATGTCCAGCGGAAAATTAGAGCCACACGAGAGTGATAAGATCGAGCGAACACACCGGCAAACGGATCACTGGAAGCCATTAGGAGCGAGCGTGGCCTTCCTTACGACAGGATGTGGCTGTCTCGGGCGCTAGAAGCTTATCAGTGCGGGTGACGAAATGTTTACGGGAGCCGATGATAGAGCGTATTCACCTTCTGTCGGGGTCGAGTTGGTGTATGTTGGTGTCTCAAGTTCCTCGTGTCGAGACAACTTCACATGCATTTGCTGCTTATAGTGGTTGATGATGTCCTGGTCCGCGGGACAGCTTTGTGTGAATGCGTCCAGGTTGTACATTTGACCCATGTAGCGCCACAGGGCGGCTAAATCGTGGGGGATTTCGAACTCGAAGAAATACTTTCCTGCAGGATATCAGGGTGTGAGACTCCGACGACTGGGAGGTATCAACGAAGAAATATCGGGACGGTGGGATTTACCACTTTCATCTTCACTCACCGGCGATGCGTATATGCTGGAGTTTCGGCATGAGCTCACAGTCGAAACAGCACATGGTGTCTCCTGTCAGAAAACGGTCACCTCTTTCGGCCAGATGCTGATTAATGTTGCGCAATTGCTTGAGGAGGGAGCCCCGGGAAGCATCATCTTTCTTCGCAAGGGCCAGCTTGAATTTGCTGTACAAGTCCTCGATGACAGTGGCGGTCTCTTTGTCCTGCACGAATAGGTTATGTCCTCCAGGGACGTTCTTCATGATGTAGCGTTCGATCTTCTCGTTTTCGAGAACAGCCTGCCCATTATCGATCAGGATCGGGGGCGGAGTCGAATCGAAGTTTGATCGGAAATCGGGTGGAGGACGCAGCATGTCTACAGTGGTCACCTGGAACGGAATCCGCCTTCCTTGAGAGAGCTTCCGGCGCAATGATAGAAAATGAGTGTAATCTCAAGATGAAGAAATCAGACATCGCGTGGACGTATAATTAGGAATCGTCAAATGGGTATCCCACGTGTCTGAGGACGCAATTAGGAATGAGGTACATAAAAACTGTTACACATCGAACAATCGCATGGAATGTATCTCAGCCATGTTTGTTCACCAACGCAGTGGCCACTCAGTAGAGCTACTGGTGTGAAACTGTCTCGGCAGTGCCAATAATGTCGGGAGTTTCGTCTAGGTGAAAAGCACGAAGAACAGCGGAGCGACGGGAATCCACGAAAAAAACCGTGTGTTTCTCAGCGTTGCGTAAGTTGAATCATGTCATCCGTGGTCGTGATAGTGGCTGTGGTCGTCGTCGTTGTCGCTGTCGCTACCGTACTACCGGATAGAAGGGAATTTCCCACAGGGTCGAAAAAAGTTGTTTTCCTTTAGACGTGACACGCTTTGTGCCATCGCTCGGCTCGCGTGGTCGCGTGCTCAACATGCTGTTTGACATTTTCGGGAGAATTCACCTCCGTGTTATCTTCCTCATGAGGCCCCACGAGAGAGCTCGCCCTTCTATCTTCCCTCATTCTCAAGCATCAACGGGATTCTCATCATTAGATAGTGTCCTCGGTCTTTCTCGGGCACGAACCGGGTGCTCTGTCGATACTTGATGCTTCTGTCAGTAGTCAGTGAGGTCGTTCGAAATCGAGTATCTCATTTGAGAAGTTCCGCACTCCGGCACAGATCTGGATGTTCAGGCAGTCATTGAGCGCGAATTGGGAGAACGAGATGAGCCGTGGCATCGAGCCGGATCATTCCTTTTCCGCCTCACATTCGCGTTATCCGCGGTTTGATTGGCAGGGCCTCAAGGATGCCAATGCGGGTTTCTTAACGAAGTTGACAGGTTTTCCTCGTATAATCCCAGCAACACCCCATTTGTGCACTTCATTCACAAGCTAGTTCTCTGGCTGATTTCCTCGCCCTATCGGAAACTGCCGGTTCTCGTTGCTGGCCCGATGCTTAACGCCGCCGCAACGACGCTTCGCCGGAATCAACTCAAGGGCAGCAAGTAGCCCCGCAGTTAAACCTATTGTCAGAACACGATGACAGAACGCTGACGTTTAGCTAGCGAGCCTTTTCGCATGATTCGCGATGCTCGCTCGTCTGGGCGGGTCGCGAACTCGCTGCGTAGATCAACTAGCATTGTGATGCGGAGACATCACAATACGGCGCACGAGTTGCCCTACTCAACATACATGCGGCGAAGCGTCGGCACCAAAACGATTGATTCGCTACCGGTGAGTGCATCATTTAGATCTGCCGTCGAGAGCATAATCGATAGGAGAACATCTCTCGCGAAGTCTGATTTCGATACGAGGCCTACTGATAACCGCCCACGCGCACAGTGGCAGCGCAGGCGAGACGCTAGACCCGCTATTGCGCCCCAATGCTGGAAGTCCCGATTTTCCAGATCAATCGATTTCATGAGAGTGGGGAAATCTCTGCGAGAATTCCATAAACATAGTATGAATTCGTTGAGTATAACCCGCGGGGGATTTCAACGGAACATTTTAGTTAACAAGCAGCATCGGAGAACTTCTTCATCGGAGTGATGAACAGAGATCATTCATCGTAAGAATTCACGTCATGCGCATATGTTCTCGGTGAGACATTCCCAACAGCGGTCACGCCGCGCCAAAAAAAAAAGTCTGGCGCCGGCACTGCACGCCCATGAGGGATGGTGAGCTAGCTTGGCGCTGCGAATTGCGTATACAGAGCCCCGAACGGTATAGGTGGAAGAAGATCAGAATTCAGTTCACTTCACTCACCTTCAAAGAGATGGTTTTCAGCTCAGCCAGGAGATAGAGGTCCATGAAATACTCCTGACAGAAGAGGCACGCTCCTTTTCGTCGGCCGTCAATGGTTGAAGCCTGGAATTCCAGAGAAGACACAACATTCAGCTGATTCGTCGGCGCATCGATAGTATTTCACGCTCGCAGACGCAATGCATTACGCTTCTATGGATACGATGGCTGCGTTCGTTAAAATCCAAAAATCTATTCGGATAAAATTCCCCCATTATAGAGTCCTGTTCAGGTCCGTCAATGCCGAATGAAAACGAGTCGCGGAAAGGCCAACTCGCCACTTATTTATTACTGTCTTTCAATATTCAAAGTAGGAATAAAATTTCTTAATCCACGGAATTCCGATTCTCGAGAAGTAAGCACAAGGACCCTACTGCATAAAGACATAGACTCTCGTCGTCTGAAAAAGAAGACACCTATCTGATGGAAGATAATTTGAAGGACACCACCGTAAATTACATTGTTAGCCATTCTGCGACAGTTCCCTTCATGTATACATACAGGACGTTCGCGTGAGGACTGAGAGCCCGGGAAGGGCTGCGACCTGCGACTCCTGGCCTCGGATCGTTCTAATAGGATTAGCTCTTCTCATGGTCCGCCAAGAGATCAGCTCTGAATCAGTGAAAGAACATGGCGACTTATATACCGCCGTTTTAAAGCTCTAACCGATCCGATCATGAGTTACTTCCGGCTCGACCCTCCGACTGGAAAGCTCTCAGATGAGAAGGAGGCATCTCACATTTAGTGAACTCCATCAGAAAGCGGCTCCTTCAAGCATAAATGACCGCGAGCGCACAAAACGTGTACACAAAGCAATTTACGTGTGAGATCTGGAGGAGAAAGCGGTCCCCGACGGACGCGCCGTGTAATCACCGAGGCCGAACGCTGTGCATACTGAGAATAAGGAAACAGGAGAACGATCCGCGGCTACACGTCGATAGAAGTACGCTAATGTCCAAGCTTCAGGAGCAAATCATTATCGGAGTTTCCTTCGGCGTCAAATCCACCAAGCCGGAAACTTCATTATTGAGGATGAATTCCTCGATCAGACAGTGGTACGTCGAACGACTGTGAGTCACGGAATACAGAACATTTCTGCTCAGTCAGTCAGACTCAGAAGAGCCACGTCGGCGACATACAAATGTTCCCGTATCTGTTTTCCTCGAAGGAGTCCGATGTCTTCGGGGAGAGCGTAACTGATTCTCCAACCGATTCTATCGCTATAACTCGTGACCAGAGTGAGCCAGGCACTGATGTCTTTCGATTCGAAGCGTCGCTAGAATGAAATAACAGGAACGATGTCGTTCTCGAGTCATCTTCATCATTGGCGCGGATTCCCATTCTTTCCTCCCGCTTATTATCTCTCAGACGATCCCTCAGAGTTCGATTCACATTGATCACGCCATCCGATGATGCTCATTTCGTTTCATTTTTCTCCTTCCGAGAGCTTTCTTCACCGTTACGACGGGATCAAGTGCTCTAAGGCCGCTTCCCGCACGTTTGCTGATCTGAACAGAGAGCCGCCTGTTCTTGACATCGGTCGACGTTTTTCGGGTCCGCAAGAGACAGGTCAGCGGATTCTGTCCGCTTCCGACTCTAGCCGCTCGATCGTAGAATAGCGGGCAGATCTGACCGCGCACGGTGTCAATGAGGGACGGACGGACGCGACGGATGAATGAATGCGCGAACGAGCTAGTGAATGAGAGACAACGCCCCCGCCGGTATATACAAGTCCGTCGCGAAACCGTAGCGACCTTGACTCAAATTTTCGTCTTTATATCACTCGCTTCAGGTCACTGCGACTTGTCGCTCGCAGCTGGAGAGCTTGACGCGCCATAGACGCAACGGGCCTGCCGGAGTTTCTCGTCGTGCCGAGCGAGTTCATCGGGTCACTTCGACAGAATTTTTCATGTGATGGGCCACGTATCGAATCTTCAAAACAGGAGAGTTTTCCAAAGATTTTTTCTTCCTCCCAGGCTTGCGGCTCGTTTTTCCGATCGCGGGGCGAGTCTCGTCGGCCAGATGCGGATGAATTCAAATCAGAGCAAGGGCGCTCATATTCGCTGAGGAAATCGGCGTTGCTGACTGGCACACATTCGATTGATGCCGCTCAAGACGGTGCGGGGGCGAATAATTTTCGGGAGCGTCTTACGCTGTCTTCTTACGTCCATGACGTAAGAGGGTCTTCATCGCCGAATTTAATACCGCTCACGTTAACTTTCACTAGAACTCAATTGTTTCCGAGCTAGCGGTAATGGATCGTGTTATCGCGACTCCTCTGTAACGGTGGACAGAATTAATGACGGAAAGCGCAGATTCTCGCGCTGATCACAGGATCCCTTCAAGCGCTTTGTTCTAGTCGCGCTCTCGTTCGCACCACGAGCTTACGCAACCCAATCATGAGACGGTATCAACTCCCGAGTACGTAACGCTTGTCAGACGGACTGACGAACCGGAACCCATGTGCTCGTTTACGAGACTGAATCAAGCCTTCCTCCAAATGGCGCCCATCGATTCTGTCGTGTGAGGGATGGGATCCAGGGCGAGAACCGCACAAACCGTCATGGCCAATCGACGAAAGCATAAAATTGTCCATGTGCGGGATATCTTTTGATGAAGAATCTGCGACACATGAGAATCTGACCCAAATTTTTGTCGAGACTTTCTCACAGAACATCGGTCGCAAACACCCGCTTGGGAATCTTTTGGTTTTCGATTGCGGGAGTCGTTCTGTCCGTCGGAGTCCTCCAACAGATTGAAAGAATTGAAGCGAGCAGATCGTTCGGAAGCGTCAACTTTGAAAACTGAATGGGAGAAAAAAGCATTCGTCTTGTATCTTGTAGTTCGTATTTATCTGGATCCTGTCGTCTCGGGACATTCGGTCCGAAATCACTGAAAAGCTGGTCGCACGGATTGCCCGGACTTGGAGAAAGATTACGACCAGTTAACCGAATGAAATACGTCTGTCGACGAGGTCAGAGCCCTCTACGAGCAGCTGGAAACGTGGAGCTCCAGCCGCCGCCACAGCAGTAGTATTTCTTCTGGCCGCCAGGCAACGTCGCGAAACATCGACGGTATTTCACGAGTGGCGGCGGCCCGTCCACGTCATGGGAATTCGCAGTAAAAAATGATATCTTGACTCTCATCTAGTTAGTATGCGTGTACACTGACTCCCACGACAAAGATGTTTTCTCTTTGTTTCTTTTCGTTCATCTGATTTAGCCGCGGAGGCTCGATTGCGGGTTCCGTGGCCGTTTTGAAAACGATTCGTCCCATCAGTGAGCACGTCGATCTGAGAATTACAATTTCGGTGGAATAGTCGGATATTTATGATTCACGACGATCGCACCGAGCCGTGTAACGTGTTTCCGGGCCGACCTTCTGGGCATTCGGCAAAAAACCTATATACTCCTGTAGATCGACGCGGGTTCCGCAACCTTCAACTTCGTTCGGACATAAGATCGCTGTCGACTCCGTTTGGCGGGTTCAGACTCCAAACCGCTAGCGCTCCGATTCCCGACATTTCCAATTTTTCCAGACACGATAGACGGCGGAAATTTCAAGAAACTTCGAATCAAAATTCCTTGATACGCAACCACTCGTTTCGTCAGAAGACAAACAGCGACACCTGATCACGATGACGATCTCGAGGCGAATCCATCAAAGTGTTTTTGGATATGGATCGAGGTCTTTTCAGAGCCACACGAACAAACAAAGAAGCGATGGAAGCGACCCGGTTGCGGGGGGACCATTCCGATTCTCACAAAAAATTGTCGATTCCACCGACAGTCGGGTCTTCGGCAGATTCAACTCGATTTCAGCAATCACTCATCATGAACCCATTGCCCGGCGTTTGTCGCCATTGAGAAAGGAAAAAACTTCGACGATCGAAGGAACACCGGAAAGAGGGAAATTTTTTCGTCGATTGCCGTCCGATTAGTTATCTCCACCGGATCTCCGGAATTTCCAGGGTCGTAACTCGTAACCAACTGATAATTCGATTTTATCACGGGTCCACGAGGGGGGAGCAGGAGCCAAAGATTCCCCCCATGAATACTTCGGCGCTCCAAGAGGAGCATTGCTGAAACCGATAAATACCGAAGCGGGTTTCAGCTTGGAAACTTCAAACAATAGATCGCGGGGCTCCCCCGAAGGTTGTTTAGAAAGCCTCCAGAAATCGAGCGGAGACATTATTTCCATATTGGAAGATGTCCGTCAACCGCAATCCGAGAACCTCGCTGGATATCAGATGCGGCTGCGGGGGTCATCGAACTCAATGCTCAGCTGCTCCTTCTCACTAACCCGTCCACCAGAAACAATACCCGAGGGCGTCAGATTCGAACTTGAATCAAAGGGTGCGCGCATGAATAGCTCGCATTGATGGCTCGGAACGCTGGAAGATCCGTCGCGTCGTCACCAACGACAGCCACGATTCCGCGAGGGTCTCACCCGTCTCGCATCGAGCGCCACCCGTCAAGAGCGGTCGATTAGCATCGGAACTGCGGGAGTTCACTCCACCAGGATACTGTCAAATATTTATGCATTTTCTCCTCCTCTCTTGTCTAGAATCTTCCGAAGGCGGCAACGTCGACGAGGTTTCTGGTCAGAAAACTCGGTTAGAAAGGGTGCGCCCGGCAAAACCGCATATGCGCGCTTTCAAAACGAAGACTCGAGACAGTCCGAGGATGCGGTCATTCGGACAACGATGGCTGTACCTTATTCCGCAGATGCATCGACTTCCACATCTCCCACTCACTATGAAGGCACTCCACCAAAACAAACAAATTCGTGAGGGACCAAAATTATTGCATTGTGCCACGAACTCATTATTCGCGTGTCAAGAGATGTCCTTTTCCCTCCGCAGACCACACAACGACCAGCTGTAATTACATACATTGCCACGAGCCACAAGTCATTTTTCCATTTCGTCGATTCGGGGTATTGCTTGTCGATTCTGTCGGTCTCGACAGACGAGACAGCCATCGAGGAATGCGGAGATTCGGGTCCGTCGGATGTCTTTTTCGAGCATCCGCTCCCAAGGCGCCGACTTCGAATAATTCGAACGG